TATATATATATATATATATATATATTTTTTTTTTTTTTTAAATCTTGATCATTAACTATGAGACTTCTAGCATTCCACTGAAGAATATGTATGACCATTTAAAAAAAAAATTATTTTCTTGATAATTTCCAGCTGAACTCAGAAGTTTGTGAATTTGATCCTCTTGGACCTCTTGCATGTCTAGTAACCGTCCTGCTGCTTCTATGATCGTTTTGATTTGATGACTTTTCTTTTTCATTTGCACTGCACATAACATAATGTGACAAAGAAATGCCACAAAGTCATCTTTTTCCACCAACATTGTATTTTAATCTACATTACATTTATGCTTGCATAATTGACAACATTTTGATTCTGTTTTCTTTGTGAGTCATTATTTTTCCTAATTTATCTCTCCTTGACTTGTTTCTTTATTTCCCCAATTCATTTGTACTTTCTTTTTTAACTTTCTTTAAAGCCTCAGCATATGAAACATTCTCTGTTATTTTTTTATATACAAAAAAAAACAAAAAAACAAAACATCTTATTGGGTTGGGAATGTACTCTCTCAACCTGAAGTTTATATAGCCAATCTGCACAGATTCTGGAATGACATTCTCAAGCTGCAATATTATTGCCATGGTGTCTTTAACAACTCTGTCTCTTTTGAGTTTAATCCTCGTTGCTTCACTTATTTTTCCTCCTTTTATTTCTAGTTTGATTTCATCAACTGTCATGTCAAGGGGAACACCTGAAATTACACCTCCTAATTTTGTAGCTGTGCCACGGATGTATGTTTTGATTCTTTCACCAACAAGAGTTGTCACTTTGAGAATCTGTTCTTGTTGTTTTTTGCTAACAGCAGAAATTAATATCTTATGGTTGTTCATTATCCTGGCTGACTGGCTTGATTCGTGCAATTTCCTTCTCAATTGCTCAGTTGATGTAAGTATCCTCCCTCTTGTTTAAACTCGACTGTAACGTTCCACTCCTCTTCCCCATTTGCTTGGTCTCCCTGCGCTTGTATTCTCTGACTTGTATTTGTTTTTGTCTTTTTACTTCTTTCCTCTCTAACCTCACTCCCAATTGACCAGCTTCTATCTTTTTCCTCTCTTCGCCTCATTTCAAGCTTTCTTCTTGAAGACCTAGACATCATCCACTCCATTTCCTCTCCACTATTTCCACCTGATGTGGAAGCCATAAAGCTACATTCAATATACAGTTTATGCAATCTGCCCAAAAGTTTTTAACTCGTACTCCGCTCGGGACTTCATTCAACAATTCAAAAGCATATTACTGGCAAATATGATTACTGTGGAAAACATGAAACAATAGAACGTGTTATACTGGAATGTCATAAATATGAAAGCAAGAGAAGATATATGAGGAAAGAGTTTGAATGTATTAAGGAAAAGATTAATTTGTTAGATATTTTGAGGAAGAATTTGGGGAATAAACATATACAAATAACTATTTGATTTTTAAAGGAAACTAAATTATTTCATAGAATTTGATTATAGAGAGGGTGAATGTGTGTTGGATAGAATACAAAGTTATATATAAGTATGTAGTTTTTTTTTGTTTTCTTTTTTTTTCAAAAATAAATTAAAAAAATAACCGTACATACATTTTATTTGCCAAATAAATAAATACATGGGCTATATGAATTGTTTTAATATTAAAATGGCCTACATTTATCATTAACAGATTTATTTAAAAGACAATGAATCCTAAAATGTATTTGAACGCTTTCAGACAAGGATAAGTGAAAGAAGATGGATGGATGGGATGGATGGAATAGATTAGAATAGAAGTTTCTTTATTGTCCTACATTGGGGAAATTCTAGTGTTTACAGCAGCAAAAAGATTATAGAAAAAATGGTCACACAAATGTGGACCTGAGAAAAGTGCAAAGGAATAACATGATAGCGAAGAGTCAAAAGATGAACAACAAAATACTGTATTCTATAGCTCTTTCAGACAGACTGCTTCCCCCATAAATGCACCAGGCAGCGTTATCACAGATCCTTCCTCCCAGCAGCTGTAAGACTCTATAACCACCACTGTTCCCAACAATCTCAATAAGTTGTTACATTCATGCTGATTTTGCACAGTTTCTACCTAAGTCGGTTAAATAACATACTGCTGTCATTTTCCACATCTCTGATGTTGCTGCTATTTTACGAATTACTGTAAAAATGTCCTCCGATGTATACTGGTTATTTATTCTCCAGGTGCACAGTTTTATATTTTTTAAAACACTTTACAGTACAGTATTTTGTTTATTCTTTTTTAACTCTTCACTATTGTGATATTTGTATGCACTCTTCTGAGGTCCACATTTATGTGACCATTTTTTCTATATTTTTTTGCTGCTGTAACTCTAGAATTTCCCAATATATAGGGATTTTCTATTCTATTCTATTCTATTGTATTCTACTCTATTATATTCTAGTCTATTCTTTTCTATTATAATCTATTTTATTCTCTTCGACTCTATTCTTTTCTGTTCTATTCTATTCTTATCTATTCTACTCTATTCTATTCTACTCTACTCTATTTTATTCTATTCTATTCTACTCTACTCTATTCTTCTTTATTATATTCTACTCTATTCTTTTCTTTTCTATTCGATTGTATTCTAATCTATTCTACTCTACTCTATTTAATTCTATTCTACTCTACTCTATTATATTCTTCTCTATTAATCTCTATTCTACTCTATTCTTTTCTATTTTATTCTATTCTACTATATTCTATTCTACTATATTCTTTTCTACTCTATTATTTTCTATTCTAATCTATTTTATTCTATTCTAATTTATCTATTCAAATCTATTCTATTCTGTTCTATTCTATTCTATTCTCTAACTGCATCTAGTTTTTAAATGTATGTGTTTAATGTTTTTAAATGTAGATTTTTGTGTTTTCGGATAACCCGTTAAAGGAGCATCATAAGTGGAACTTATGTTTTATTCTATAACCGCCAGTTCACTCGGGCGACCCCGCATCCAGAAACAGGCGCACCCCGAGCTCCAGGCGGGACTTCCTCTCTCCTGCGGATGCGACATCAGGGCTTTGGCAGGCAGAAAGGGCTTGGTCGGGGTGTCACCGGGGTCCCGATCCGCGCGTCTCTCTCCGGATCCCGGCCGACTGGACGCCGCTGATCGCCCCCACATAGAGGAGCCCTGTCCTCGGCTATGCTGCCCTGAGACCGCCGCCACCATCCAGCCCCGCCAACATGTCTGATGTCAACAGGACTGTTCAGAAATGGCACGCCAGTTTTAGAAAAGGCACAGACTTTGACTCGTGGGGGCAATTAGTGGAGGCGATAGATGAGTACCAAATGTAAGTTCCCAGCATGTGTGTCCTGTCTGTCCCCATCGGTTTACCCTTAAAGATGCGCTTCTCCTTCTTAAATGTAGATTCAATTTAAAGCGGTCTGTGCTGAAACCTGCAGGGTTTTAGATAACGGCTTCAGAATAAGTTATGCTGAGAGCTGTCAGTTCACAGCAGTAAATAAACCCTTCCCATCCATGACGTGATGTGGCATTTGTTGCAGAGGGAGTGGGGTTTGTCTGTGTGCTGCATCCACAGCAGCAGCTCCAGCTGTTTGATGGAGCCATGGAAAAACCAAAGAGAGCTTCGTGTTTTGCAGGGCAGAGAGAAAAAGAGCCCATATTCCTCAGAGTATTGAGAAATAGTCAGCCACACCCTCTCATTGTTATGGGTGGGTTTCATATGTGTTCATAGAGGAAAGGCTTTGTCCTTTTCTGAGAAAATCCTCCTCCCTGTTTCAGGCTGTAATCTTTTTTCATAATTATTCATTTGCAGCTGTTATTTTTAATAGTAAAAAAAAAAAAGGCAAAGAACACCTGGCAATTCCATGTTTTAATCACAAGAGGGCGCCAGATTTCCTGCATTTAACATTAAGATTTTGCCTTTTGATTTGTCATTAATATTTTTTGAAAGCTTAAAACTTATTCTTTGCTAGAAAACCACAAGCATTTTCAGACTCAAATAATTCCCCTGGACTTTCTAATTAAATTCTGTTTATTGGAGGGGAAAGTATTAGCTTTGAGCTTTTTATAATAGTCATGGGATCCATTATAATAAAATAAAAGTGCTGAATTGTAGTGTGGTATATGACCACTGCTTTATAACCAGTAGACAAACAGATTTAACTTCAAAATCTGACTCTTGGATTTGACATATCACAAATTTGGGCCCTCCTAAACTGAATGCAAATCCTCTGTGGGTTTGGTTTAATTTAATTTTTGTAAATTATTCTTAAAACTAGCTGTTTTAGTGCTTCAGTGCAGGACAGCTTGAATTAAAAGTTGCTTAAAGACCAAAACAGAAAGTAAGAAGCTTTTCTTTTGGTATTCATAGGAATACATTTTGTGAGTAAAAATCTTATGTGTAAAAAACTTTGAATTAAATCACTGCGATTCAGTATGAAAATGTTTTTTTTTTCCTCTGGAAAAATTAAAGAGAGGCTATAAGAAAATATTTTAATCTGGAAAATGATTTAAAAAAATTGCTGAGTTTTCTTTTTTTTCAGATTGCTTGGGGAAACTGCCTTGATTAGAATAAAAAAAGGATAGAGGACTTTTTTCCAAGCCCTAGAAGTTTGATGTGTAGAGGTTAACTTAGACCTGGTTTTAGGGCTGAAACAATTACCATAATCGGATTAATTGATTATTGAAATAATCGACAACTTATTTATAAAGCGGTTAATCATTGAATGGATTATAGAGACTGTAAAATATGCCTTTAGCTGACAGAGCAACCCACTTAGAGCGGTAATTGTAAAATTGTAAAAAAAGAAAAATATGTAAGCATTTTGCATTTAAGATTTTTTGTCTGTTAACATGCTATATCCAGAACTCCTCAAGTGGAAACGTTTTAGTTTCACATGGTTTAATTTCGAAAAAAAATCTTCTTTAAGGAACCTTATGCTGTCCAATAATGAATATAAAATAACTTACAGATTCATCTATTTTCGGAGTAATCATTAAAGCAACAAAACCACCTTATGCGTTATTTTATTTTATTTAACAAGGAAACCGTTGAGATGAACATATCTTTTTTTCATTCTTTCTTTTTTTAGGAAAGTCTGGCTAGAACAGCATCCTTACATGTTACAAGTTACAAAACTTTGATTTTTGAATAAAATACCTAAAGGAAATAAAAAGATTTTCAATCAACATACAGTTGTGGTGGAAAGTTTACATACCTTCCATTAGTGACAGAAAAAATCAGCTGCCAGTAAAGTAGATTGAAATTGACAAAAGTAATACTAAATGCAAATTATAAAAAAATATTATTAAAGAGAAATACCCTCTGTGGCATAGTGCAGATTAGAAGTGGGATATTAAAGGTTGCTAATAAGACTTTGTTTGGAGTCCTGATTTGACACTTTTAAATAATTTAGAAATATTAAAAGTTAGCTTCATTCTGTAAAACATTAAGCTTTAAATTGTAACGTTAAATGTTTGATGATCTCATCTAACTGTTCATGTGCAATAATTCAGTCTAGCCAGACAACTACAGAAGGAGGTCCAGTCTACAAATTCTTCAGACTTCACAGAGGAGCAGAAGGTAACATTTTATTGAGTTATATTTTCCTTCCTGCTGCGTCTCCAGACCAAACTCTGCTGCTGCAGTTTAACTAATAACTGTTTGTGTTTTGTTTTTATTTAAAGAAAAACTTAGGAAAGATTGCAACATGCCTGGAGATGAGAAGTGCCAGTTTACAGGTTTGTTTCCTCATTTCTATGAATATTGGTAAATGATTTTAAATGGCACATACCAAGCCTGGGCAGGTAGATATTCCCACTGTATTACACCCTGCAGATTCTAGACCCAATTCGGTCCAGGTCCACATTGTCTATAGAGGAAACTGGTTAGTTCCTGAAGCAACAGTAGGTTGCAGCAGTAAACGAAGAAAAGCATCACAGAGGTTGAAGCCTCATTAGAAAGATAGAGCTCACATTCTGGCTTTCCATGTAGCATCATGGATGAGTCCTGCAGTTACCTGAAGCTCGTACCTCTGAGGATATTTTCTTTGTCTTTCAAAATGTAATCTAAAAATATGGACAGTAAGTAAATAATTTATTCTTAGACTTACAGTCCCTTGGGAAAAAATTAACAAACCTTTTGCATTTTCATATTTTGTTATAATTATACACCTTAAGGTTTTGTCATGGATCTATTTAATGGAACAAGCAAAATGCCTGAAAAACTTTGTCTGATTATCGCAAAACTGTCCAAGATCAGTGTAATTGGATGCAGAGCTTCTGTTAAGGACAATTTTCAGTTGTTTCCACAAACTATGAATAAATTTAGGTCAAGACTTTGACTTGGCCGTTCAGCTAAATTTCAGATCTGAAGGTAAGGCTAATTTATTTTTATTTTAGTAGCAAAAAGCTTTAAAGTGGTTCACATGAGGAAAAAGAAAAGAAAAGTGTATTGCAGTGGCTTAAACGTAAGAGAATTAACTGAGATAAAAAGATTAATAACAATGAAAAGAAAAGTTGGACTCAAATGTAACAAGTTATTTTTAGAGCAAAGTCAAAGGCCACTCTAACATAAATCTGGATTTAAATCAGTTTAGGGTTTTAGTGGTTTTACATTTTCTGGGGGTTAATCCAGGTTAGGGAATATAGAAACTAAAGGCAGCTTCTATTGTTTGGTTCTGGGTATGCAAAGTAGATTAGATCCATGTTTTGAAAATCATTTTAAAGATCTGGTGCTAAATAAAAATGCATTCATTTACACTTACTGGTATACAAGCACTTACACTGGAAAAATGATCTAGAAATAAGTAAAAATGTCTTAAATTAAGTGTATTTACCATTAATTTGAGAAGGTAAATGCTATATTTTGCCAATGGAATGAGTATTTTTAATCTTAAAATATGATAATTAGATAATATGAACTTGAAATAAGACAATGCAATTGTGTTTTCCCTTTTTTAAATATAAATTGTCTTGTTCCATTGGCAAAATGCATCTTTTTCCTCCTCAATCCAAGAACAAATTTACTTATTTTAAGAAAAAATTACTTATTTAGATTTGGATATTTTCCAGTGTAGGCATAGTGAATGAAGCACAGGGGATGTCATTAAGCTAAAATCAGCAAACATGTTTTTAATAATAGCTTACCGTAGCTATAATATGAGGAATTAAAAATACTTTGATCATTTTTAAATGCCTTCATTATGCCTGTTTTTTTTTCAGTGCACCCAGTCGAAGGAGGAATTCAAGTTAGAAGACCTCAAGAAACTGGAGCCTAGTGAGTGTCTGAATGTTGATGTTCACTAATTAGTAGGAGTTGCTGCTAAAATGTGTCCGTCTTTGTCCTTTTCTCCACAGTAATAAACAACATACTCACCTATAACAAAGAGTTTCCATTTGATGTCCAGCCAGTGCCATTAAGGTCAGTTTCCAATCAGTAAATGCTTCCTGTTGAAATCTATGGGTTTCAGGAAAATATTCTGGAATTTTTTTTAAATTGAACCTAATATTTTCTTGGCTGATTTACACTAGCAATATATTTAGCTGTAATCCAAATATTTATGCTGAAAGCGAAATGTGAGATTTGTTATAGTTTATCACAAGAAGATATGTTTCTATAAAAAAAAAGTCAGCTTAGTGTATTTAAGATAAAAAAGAATTTTATCTTCCTATTTATGGAGCATTGTTACTACCTTTTTTTTCTAGAGATATTTTTGGTTGATATGCATATTTATGTTGTCCGTCCTTAAGAAAAATGAATGTTTCCTTGCCCTCTGTCAGGAAAATCCTTGCGCCGGGAGAGGAGGAGAACTTGGAGCTGGAGGAAGAGGATGATGCTGCTGCAGGAGCAGGTTCAACAGAAGCTTTCCCACCGAGAGCTCCTGGTATGCTTTCTCATAACCAAGCACAGACTGAAGGCTGCTCTGGTTTGTCTTTGGACGCATGTTTGACCAAGTATATTTTTATCATATCTGTCGTTGCTGAGCATGGCTTCATCACTCATCCTAACCTGCATGATTCGCAGCATCCACAGATATGACTTCAATCTTGTACAGAACACATCTCTATTGATTCAAAGATTCTAACAACTAGCAGATGCGATAAAAATGAACAAATTGTGTTTTTCAATGTTACATTTAGAGAAGATCTTTTTGACTCTGAGTGGAAACGTTTTCATTTAATCTTTTTTGCAAAGTTAGGGATATCTGTAATTCAGCTCTTTCATAATAGGACATAGTTTACTGGTCCAGTTTGATTTATATGGAATCTGATCTGATTGCTGTTATTCACATTTAGCGTGCAAGATTTAAAATCATTCTCTTAGTTTCTCGTTTTTATTTATGTGTGTTGCTTCAGACACGCTCCAGATTTTATTGCATGATTTCCAAACAGTCTAGAAAAGTATGAAAAATTTTAATAAGGATTTGCATGTTGAGACCTATTTTTTCCAGTCTTAGTCTCTAAATTCACAATTCAGTTATGTATCTATCTCACTTTTACTTTAATCACTCATTTCTAAACAACCATGCATATAACTTCACCTTAGGCTATGATAGATGGTTACCACCCTGTTAAAGCTACAGTGTGTAATAATTACGGGATATACAGACAGAAATGTAATATATTATACATAACTATGTTATTTATTATCATCTACGAGCTCGTTGCCTTAGAATTTGTTATTTATAATTACATAGGAGCGGGTCTCGCAGCCATGGAGGCAGACATCTTTGGGCTACGGCAGCGCAGAACCAAAAAACTAGCGATTGCGAGATCGCCAAAACGTCACAACGATGTAGAAAAAATAACGGGTTTATTTGTTATCTTAAGTCTACATGAAATCTATACCCTACACAGACTAATGAAATACTATCTGTAAAATTATCTATGTAAACAAACCTCATCACTTGAGAAGGTAGG